TATTTTATATATATATATATATATATATATATATATATATATATATGTGTGTGTGTGTGTGTGTGTGGTGTATACTTCATGTTCGTTCGATATTAAAATAATAAATCGATATTTGCGAGAACAGCATTTCTGCAAACAAAAATTTACAATACGGCATATAATTATTGTTTATTTAGCGCACGTGCGCGCATGAGCCTCATCGTTGCTATTTTCGATACCTGCATTTTCCTTTTATTTTCGTGCTCGTTACCAACGCACTCGATATTATTATAACCCAGAGAACCAAAAAGCAAGAAATTTCCATTGCTAATGATGCATCCCACCCAATGTATTATCGTTATCTTCCACCAGGATATAAGCATTTTAACGGATAAGCAAACGGATTTAATCACATATCTTTGAATTTTCCGTACGTACGTATAAAATTTATTTCTTCCCTGTCTCTTCAACACACGCAGAATGTTTAATTATCAAATATAAATTGTTTTGAATCAGGATCTGAAAAAAATTTGTTATTAAAAAAGTAATTTAGCTTTCACATTACAGTAATGACATTATTCCATTTTATTATTAAAAATTAGATATGTTTATATCAAGAGAAATGTTTTTTTCTCTGTTTTAATAAAAAAATTTTCATAAAAAATTTTATTAAAAATTGTTATGCATTGGGAAACTTCATTATTTATTATTATTATCCGAGATTTACGAACATATAGCAGAAAAAAAAAATAAAATTAATATCTATCTAAAGAAATAATTTTACAATTTTCAATATTTATATTCTACGTTTTTCAATTATTCTTTTACACATTATTCTTATAAATAATTTTAAAATTACCTTCTATTTAACTACATCGTTCTATCTCTTTTTTGCACATATACATTAACTATATCAAGTTTAAATGATATATCTCGCGTTACTTCTAATCGGACGTATTTCTCATACTACGCAAATATTTACAAGCGAGCAAATAAAAGATTGACGAAATTTCAAGATCTAGAAAGTTTTAGAAATCTTATCGCTGAGTGTCTCGTATTTGAAAAATGAGTCAAGCAAATCGCGAAAACGCGAGGAGCGGCAGATTTAACGTGCCTCGATTATACTCCCGAGGAAATAAAATAACCGGGCGTATCTCGTATTTCTATCAAATACCCACTCGTCGGCAGAGCTCATTGAGATACAAAAACTATCCCATTCATCCCGGTATTATCCGGCTCAGGCCACGGAGAGCTTAATTTCGCCAACGATTGATCTCCAAATCTCCATGTCGGGACGGCAGCACCGCGACGGCGGCGGTACGGAATCCACGAGGATTAACCCTCTCGATTTATTTCGACCGATCTAACTCACTCTCGGCGGCTGCCGGCGAGAGGAATCTTCGCGGAGACACTTGAGGGACGGTGATGCTGATAAAAGATCTCCATTCACCGGAGGAGACTGCCTGTAGCCAGGCTGTAGCCGCGCGCTTTCGAGCTTCAGAGGGGGGGGACTATCTCGGTTGCGTTGCCGTGAATGCGCATTGTCCGCATTGTGCTGTCCGATGACTGCCGTTCTAAGGATACCGCCGGTGTGGTAGCACGCCGGGGGAGAGATCGTGAGTCGCGTGACGAGCGTCGCTACGCCATCGTCATTTATCTCGCGCGCGGAATTTCAGATATTTCCCGGGACACGCGCGATTATCGCAAGACGAACAACCGTGTAATTAAATACGGCGAGCATACCGGGATAAATGAAAAAAAAAAAAAAGAAATTGATGACACCGATGACCGAGCATGCTGTGGCTGATGCGTCCGCCGTGCACGCGGCCGAGTCGAATCGAGCCGCGAATTAGATCGGCGATTGGCCCCGATTGAATTATGCGTGATATTTAGACGGGATTGCAAAATTTTTTGCAACGCACGCGGGGGAAGAGATGAAAAAGTGTCAGTCACGGTTCGTAGACGGTGTGACGTTATTGCACGTGCACACACGCGGCATGTTGTAATACTTCTTGCGCGCGGATCGTGTATGCGAAATCATGCCACGTCTGCCGCGGATATAATTACGCTAACAAGCCGGAACACGTTGCTACCAGACGCGGCGGATGTGTTTAATCCTCGCGGAATCACAGTCGGCGCATTTCTCCATGCTTCACAAAAGATTCTCGCGGGTACGTCTGCTGTGCATACCGGTTGCTTATCTTTCGCCTTTCGCTGCGCTCGTCGCCGAGCGAAAGTAAGCGGCGCATATTCCGCCGACGTCGTCGTCGCGCGCATCTGCGAATGACAGCAGTTGTTTCCAAGTTTATCCAAAGCTGCGGAACGTATCCAGCCTCTTAATTCGCTCCAACCTACCCGGCGGCGAGGGAAGCGAGAGAAGACACACGTGGCGCGATAATCGCCACGTTTCCGGCAAAGCCAGCGGACGAGCTGGCTCGCACGTGAACCTCTTCCCCTCTCTTTCTTCCTTTTGTTGGTTGTTAAATTTGTTCCACTTTGGTTAAATTTATTCTACTACCATGCCGATGCGATTTAAATAGCTTTGCTAAATGAAACAGAAATATACGTGCACGAAAAATTTAATCGTACGAATTAAAACGAAGTTTGCGAAAGAAAATTAAATTTATGATATAGTAAATAAAAGAAATAAAATAACTAGAAGAATCTACACACAGTGCACATTGAAGTAATGAAAGTATCACGACGTACAGAGTGATGCCGAACGTTCTGGCCAGACTTTGAGATTTGATAGCAAATTTATAAACAGGGGTCGAAAAATGCTCCCTTAAAAAGTTAGCGTCCAAAAACTTCTGAAATCATGATTATTATATAAGAAACTTTTTGTTCAGAATTACATTTCCTATAAGATCTCAAAATTTGATTGGAACGTTCGGGGCCACCTGTGGTTTAACCACTTGTGGTTAAAAATATATTAATAATAAAAGAAATATCGTTGTTAAACATTTGCGGAGTGTCCTGTTGAAATTTTGCTCTCATTTTTATAATAAAACGGAGAATTCTTTTAATGTGTGATAAATAGTATTGTGGGTTGCGAAAATCCCTCGCGAAGCGAAGTTCGTGCGAAGTAGAAATTGGGACTGCTGCGCCGGAAAGCTCTAAATTTATCGCCGATAGCTTCCTAGGAGCGCGAAAAGCTATCTTTGATCTCTCTCACGTTGATTTATAGATTCCACTTTAATATAGCGAAAATCGACTTGCGAGAAATAGAAGGAGAAATAGAATTTTTCTATATTTCGTTTATACTTTACTCGGTGTTAACGCCAAAATACCGATCGCTAAAAAGAGTTGTTGCCGACAACGGAATCCTTCGTTGCGGAATAATCGACCGAAATTCGTTTTCTTTCTGTTCTTGTTACGAAACGGTGATCCTATCCTGCGGGACACAGCTAAATGCCGTCGTATCGGCAAAATTACGGTAACTTAACCTCTGTCTTCATTTCTTTCTTCCTGCACCCCTTCGGTCAGAAACTTCCGATTATTCCGGATACGTAGACGATTGGACTGAACTTCTCTTTGATACGTATTTCGTAGCCAGGAATATACGCCTTTCTATAAAAAAAATGTTCAAAACATTTTTCTCGCGAACTGTCTCTCGTTATAACAATTGTAATTATATTCTTAATTCAAATAAAATGTGATGCACTCGATGTGTTTCGTGCAAAAAATACAAATACAAAAATTCTCGATTAAAATTATTAAATTAAATTCTATTTCCAATAAGAAATAATAGTCATTTTTGCACATTCGACTGGGATAATTTACATTTCTCATTTTCTTCCTCGGTCGCTTCGATTTTTATGTCGAATATATAAAGCGAAGAACGATAGTGTCAATCAATTCGTCGCCACTGCGAAATATTTGACGCCCTATCGCATTTCACGTATAAAATCTGCAAATTAATGCGATTAATTATAATAATATGAATATCGAGCTCTCGGCTACCCGTTTTCATTTCCGATTCACTTTTCATGAATAAAAATTAATAAAGAACACGAAGCAATTCCGCAATGCGTTTCATCAATTCGCTGCGTAAAGTATCGCTTTCGATTTGTGTATATCGAATAATATAATATAAATGCCAATTGTCAGTTGATCTGAAGAATGTAGATGTATCGATTACTATTGCTCACATCTCAATAAATACGAATTTCAAAAACATTTGACAAATATAATAGGTATTCGGATTAAAGCGATTAAAATACGTTAAATAACTTCGATAAAATTTCGCAACAAATCTCAGAAACAACGTGTATCGAGAAGTCCCGAGTAATCCTTTTCCGAAAATTTAGCTGCTTCAAATTCACCGTACTTAATTATGCTCGAAACAATTTCTCCTAAACGAAAATTTGACTTGGCATAATTTAAATCTCGATGCTGTCGCAACGTCGACGTTTCTATTAATGAACCTTCATTCCAAGTGAGACTTCGTGTTTGAAATGTGAGCCACTCGGGACGTGCCCCGTTCTGAAAGCATAATGCTTTCACCCCCTCGGTTGTCACCCCCTGTTCGCGGCAATAAATTCCATCATCTTGCGCCTTATCGTTGCGTCTCCTTTCAATTTTGCGCTATTCATAATCGCGTAAGCATCGATCTTCGTGTTTCTATGAGTCGATGCTGCGTCGATGCTCGTCAAGCGCAACAAATAAAAGCCCCATACATACGGATATGATTCTCATCGGCAATATTTAACCAGTCGGTTGGGGTGTATCAAACGTACTCGTCGATAATCGCCTTCGGCGAAAATTGATGATGGGGGAGTCGCCCGTGGGATTCTCTGTTTTTGAAATTGCAATGCCGGTGCGACAGCAAAATATGAACGGAAGTCGAGTGATGCGGATGCGCGAGTCACCGTCTCTCCCACTCGCGCCGACTAAATTGATTTACCCTTATGTCCACATGTTTCTAATTAAATAAATAATTATGCCCTGCGCGCGTGCTCAATTGAAGTATATTTTAATAAATTTAAATGATTATTTAAATTTAAATTTCTCTATTGAGTGGCATACAATTATTTCTTGAGTATATTTAGCTATATAATACATCCATCAACGTGTAACTTCATATCGATTGTATAAAATATTTTGATTATAATATATACAAGTAGCAACGTTAGGTTAGATAAACAAGTGAAAAATGATTGATGTTTAATATTTTGTTACAATTGGTTGTACAATATTTGTCACCATTTCACTTATTATAAAAAGAATTGTGTGAAGTAATTGTAATACAACATAATATTGTCACAATTATTTAAAATACGATAAAATAATATTCATCTGTAATAAAAAATAATCGATATTTCTTATAGATTTTTCTGGTACTAACAAATATTGCTAAACGTGTAATATTATATAATGTCTCTAGTTAATTTGATTCCAATCACCCTCACCGATCACCCTTATCAACCACCTGACATTTTTCTCGTTCATAAATCTATAGAAAATAAATTGCACTAAATTAATAATGCATTGATTCTTGTGAGATGGGCATTTTTGTTCTGATAGAAGCAGAAAATGTCCATCTCACATTGCTAAACTTGCATATCTTTCTTAATTTTCTATCTCTATAAATATACTTACACATTTTTACTCTACTAAAAAAAGATTGATAATTATAAAATTAATGGTAAATTAAAAACCTCCGGGAACACAGAAATGATATTTACAAATTTAAGCCGAAACTCGGTCCAAATTTCGATTTCTACGAACATCTAAATAATTTCTTTCGGAGAAAAACGGGAGAATCACAAGGCGCTCCTCTATTTTTTTCTAAGCTCTTACAAATCGCGCGTTTCGTCGTAGCGTAAAGACAAACTATCACAGTAATCGCCACGAAAATGCGCGTCGTATGAGCGAAATGAAGACAGGAGAAGCTTCACTCGCAGTGAAGCGTAAAACTTGAGTTAATTACGAGTCTAGCGAAAGTCCTTTAGGAGCTTAGCCTAATTAAACGGCACACATTCAAAACGTGTCCATGTGGATGGTGTCCATGCTGGAGTACATATTGGGCACGTTGTTCCTGCTGCCTTGCCCGAAGACAGCCACGTCGACGGCCTCGTCGTCCAGTTCCTCCGAGAAAGTCACCAGAACCTACACATTCCACAACAGATTACGTGAAGCATAATCCGCGAATTAATTATCATAAAAAGTCAACTCGGCTGCTAGAAAAAGAATGTACAGAGGAGTTTTTGTCGCGCGCGGGCGTGTTGAACTTTATAATAAACCCCCGATCTGTAATGTTTCGAAATTAAAATTCCAACAGTGAATTAACTGTTTAATTTTAATTTTAACTCGGCGATATTAGTTTTCTGGCAGGTAATTTCTGGCAGGTTTTCTTTTTTTCTTCGTAACGCGTATGGTCGCAACGAGGGTGCTTTCGCGCAATTTCGCCTCGCCGATCAAACCTGGCGTAACGTTTCGTGCTTGCAATTATCGCAAAACTAAAGTTCCACGAGGACTAGGTGCAAACTTTCGGTCGTTGCGTCGTTGCAGTTCCGTGCGTGCTTCGCGTTGAAACATGTTCTCGGAACGAGAACATTGGACGGGGGAGTGGGTGAAGGGAACGAAGGGCTTTACTTGCAACGAAGAACCATAAAAATCTCAGAACTTTTCCGACCGGCCAAGTTCGCCTCGGTTTACATACAAGTACGATACTGCAAAAAATTCCCGCTTTGCTCGCGAGATCGCCATACCATCTTTGCGTCACGGCGAGAAATGCATTTCCATAATGTCCTGACGCCGCAGGCGAGCTTGAAAACGATTTCTTTTTCTCGGAAAAGATTAGCAATAAAGTGGATTTATTGGTTTGATATTAAAGACTATTAATTGCATCGTGATTATTATTACTGCACGAGAAACGAGTTAAATATCTAAATTGAAAATAATCGCTAAATATTATCGAATATATAAAATGTATTAATATTACGTAATATAAAGGAAATATGTATTGTAAATATATTTGTAATTTCTTCTGGAATATATTATGTTTAATCAATTTCTTAATCGGTAGAAAATAACATGCATTATTATTATTATATTCCGCAATTTCATGGCTTAATTTATCAAAGCGTTTTAATTTTAATTCTCAATAATCTGATAAATCAATTCTTTGGCAATCGCTATTTTCTTAATTTAGCTTCTAAATTTAGTTAACATTAATAATTTTCAATTGCAAATATATTTATGCATGTCTCTGATTTTTTCCGAAGGATAAATACACGCGATTGCGGGGATCTTAAGAAGATTTCGCGCAGATAGTTTTCCGTAACATTGCGGTAATCTGGAAGTTCTTAGATTCGGCCCGACCCAGTTTACTACCGTACTTAGGACTTAATTTATATTCCGAACCGCACTAACTTGAGCTGTTGCTATTGTCGTTACTCCAAGAGCTTACAAAACAACGGGGTTCATGGCAGCCCTTAATGTTCGCACGAGCTAAGTTTCAAGAACTAGGGATGAATACGTGACTCAAGTTTCTATTTAACGACGATTTAAATACGCCCAAGAGAGGACAGATGACGACATTTTCCAGAGCGACGGCGAGCCGTAAATTTCCCATTTGTCAATTAATAATTAGCAATGATAATCCCGAGAGTGCCGAATGAAACGAAAGAACGAAACGCAATCGCGCGGTAAATTGTTCGCCGGCGTCACTATTTTTAGAATAAAGCAATTACGTAGAAATTGCGAAACGTCACGGGCTGATAGATCGGTCGCATTATTGGTCGAAAAACGATTCTATTTCTGATGACAAAAAGGCTCCATAAAACTTCTCCACTTCTCGTTTCAAGTACTGAATTTCTCTCACTTCGCCAGCATGCCGCCTTATAAGTGATCAATTAAGCTTCCATTATTCATCGCATTCGATAACGCTCCTTTTGAATTTCTTGCACGTTTAGTTCTCTCTCTCTCTCTCTCTCTTTCTCTCTCTCTCGGTGGATATTGATATTTTATTCGTGAACATTCGTTCTTGTCACATCTCCTAACAGATTTCATTCGATCTACGAGATCTGTTTTGGCCAAATTTTTTATCAGGCTTTTTAACAGGGCGAACGATGGTTTCCAATAATAATCGCCAACAATAATTCCAATAATAATTAGTGAAGTGCAAAAAAGGAGCGAAGTAAATGAAAGAAAAGCATTCCTTGCTGCAGTTCACGTTTCACGAAAATTAAATAGCGCCTTTCTGATCAGCACCGATCGATCACTTCAAGCAACGATTTCAATTCCTTTCCTCGAAACGCCGACGCGAGAGTTCGCATTTCGATCGTGAATCGCTCCTTAGAATTTTCAGACTTTGTAGAAACTGTGAAGGATAGTTGGGAAATGGATTGCGCGCACATTTTCGGGACCGTAAGATCTACATAGCCACACCGACAATTTTGCTGTCGCGCAACTCGCCGTTGCGTGATTTATGATCTTTGCTCGCAGCTAAGTCGCAAAATAAAATGAATGATGTATTGTTGGGAAAAAGTTGCAAAACGAAGGGTCGAAGGGTCTTTGTCGTTAATTTCGATTATTTTCCGCGGCTCCATTTTATTCCGCGAATATACGAAGAATATTTTTGCGTGTCGTTCGGTGACGCAATAAATTCTTAATCTGCGTATGTACAAGAGCAATAAAGTTCATTTTCCGTTTACGATGCACGAGTGAAATAGATTTTGCTATATGCCAGGAAGTAAATCGCGACGAATAGGAAACGACTGTGAATAGTTTTATGGCGTAAATATAAAACAGCGCTTGCTGTAAAGTTTTATTTTAATTCCGTTTCATTATTCTCAGTCAGACAACATTTTATGTAAAATCTGAATTTGAGAAAAGAAAAACAAAGAGGCTGCAAGCTTTATGCTGCCGTCTCGTAATGATTCTTTTTTTTTTTTAACTAATATCATGCCGTTGTGTTATTAATTCTCTTTGTATCGTGCAACTATATTTTCTGCAATTTTCAGATTTTGTCCTCGACGGTTACATATTTCACGCTATGAAAATAATAATATGATATTGCGACTTCGCATTTGAGGGAGTGTTAATTAAAGTGAATGTTTCCGTTGACCTATGAAGATTTATACATAAAAAGTTTTTTAATTAGCTTTAAAATTAAAATTTTTCTTTATTAACCGGCTTATGCAAATGCGGTTTGGTGGGCACTTTGCGCGCGGTAAATTTCGCAAAGAGCCGCAAAGAGCGACGGAAGTTTGGTAAGACGGAGGAGACATACGAAATGCAAATTTCGGCGTCCAGCTGCATCCCCCGCGTGCAAATGCAGTCCTCTCTCGGCATTGCGACAGACGAAGGTTGGACATAATTTGTCCGTCCGTAAGTTGCGTACGACGCGACGTACCATTCAATTACACGAGCTTGCGTAGCTTCAAACATTTTTTTATTCCTGCCAAAAACGGGGCGGGAGCTTTACACGCGAGAGGAAAAACGCGGTACATCATGTGCGCGTCCGTAAATTTACGAACGTTACACGGAGAGATAGGACAATTTGCAATTATGTATAAGCGTGGCCGCATACCCGGTGCTTCGAATTTACCGGAAAGTCGTGTGTGGACAGGGATCCGGACGGAACGGCAAAATATTCTTTATGCATGGCAGCAACACGCAACGTAAAAAAAAAAAACCGATCGATACGCTTTACACGATTTTAATTTGATTGCATTTGATTTAATTGCATCATCTAGGCGCGTTCGCGGTGAATATTGTCGTTAAATACGCGACTCTGGAAACGCGCACGGAAGGGACTTCGGCGCTTTGACGTGCATTTGCGACGCGCTGACTTGTACGTACCAACAATATGCATTTACCGAGAATGCTTGCAATCCAATTCGTATTGAAGCGACGTGAAAGACAGTTGTCGTCACAGTCGTTGTAACACACGACGCGCAAAGGTCGCTTCGAGTGCAATGGAATGCGGAGAAACGTATCGCGTGCGTATAAGATTTACACTCGGCAATTTCGACAAGACTCGAGCTTCATTATTCAAATGATGAATTATTTTGGTAGAGAGGCAGAGAGAGAGAGAGAGAGAGAGGAGGGGAAGGGAGAAGTGAACGGTTAATTAACAACAGTTTTCGCAAAGAGGGTGAAAGGGTCGACATCACGCATTACAACTACCCCAAAAGCGTTTAGGGCTCAGAGGCAAGCAGCCGGTATGGGCGAATTTGCCGCCTCCCTGTAGCTTGTAAACCATCGCGGGGTTGGGTATAAGCGAACTACAGATCCGAGACGGTAGATCCATTAATATCCGTCAGAATCGGTGGGACGAAAACGCGAATCGTCTTTGGACGACAGGAGGAGGCGCCGCGTACCGGCGGTGCATCATCTGCTGAAGACAAGCCCTTGGAATATCGGATTCACCCGCCCGACGTTCACCAAAGGTCCCGTCGCGAGAATAAATACTGTGGTTCTAAACTCTCAGCAAGAAGTTCTGTGCCCCAAATAAGTCTTAGAAATCTCGCGTATCGCGATACAATTTCGAAAATGACAAATCGGGGATGATCGAACGGACGTAACTTCACGTACGATAATATCGCTTTAACTTCCGAGAGTATATCCGAGATAATACATCTCGTGGCTTTACGAGAGACGAGCGACGGAAACATTTGAAAATCAAAATTGATGAGAGAATCCGCGAAACGCTGTATCGTTGAATTGGATTCGCTGACCTGATCCAGCGAGCTTTGTGTGAGTGTGTAGTCCGTGGCCTTAAGCTCCTCCGCCAAGAGCTTCAGCATGCTGAAGCTCACGCTGAGCGCCATGTCCTGGCTTCGTGGTAGCAAGAGCCGAGCAGCCGTTGCTTGCCTCGACGAGATCATCGCCTGTGGTAGATATTTCAGGATAACCTTCCTAAGATCCGTGGCGGAAACTGGCTGGCCGAATCTCAGGAAGGCGACGTATCCCTCGCCGAATCTGAAAGTGAAATCGGATTTACAATTCTCTTCTGGAAAGTTTTCGATGAACGCGCCATTTGAATTAATCACGATGATGATGAAATAATAATAATAATGCAAGGGTTACTCTCCGAAGCGACGAAGATAAGTTTACGATTTATTCACTTTCACGTCGCGTTCGATCGCGAGAGACATGATTCTATATTTCAAAGTCGTTCTGGACAAAGGACACGAGGGATAAGCTTTTACTGCGCTTCCTATACCGTAACAAAGTGCATTCGCCATTCTTTATCATTCAGCGTACTCTCCGCGGTACACGAGAGCGGATTGCAGGATAGGCTGCTAACGTGGACGGGACCATATCGTAAATTCTACCCCCGATGGCGAGAGACACTGTGGGAGAGAAAGAATCGGAAAAGAGGTGGAAGAAGGATACTTCTCGAGATCCTTCTCGAGGGCACTTTAGGGCTTGAACAGTTAAATATTTACCGCGCGCTACGTTATTATTCTAAATAAATGCCGCGTCTGGTAAACATTTCTTTGTACACGTATTTGCATATAATCAAAAAAAGTTTTGTTATCGCATTACCGACGATTCATTTTTATATATTATTTTTCTACCAAGAAATATCACCAAAGAGCTTAGCTTCTGTTCGAATGTAAGCGTATTGTCATCAAGAATTCTTAATTTAATTAAATTCTTCGCTAGTCTAATTAAAATGCGTTATGGCAACTCTTGAAAATTTTCTTTGATTAAGTTGCTAAGAGAAAAATATTTGTGGGTTTAAACCGGCGACCCGTGAGATCTAATATGACCCCGGCCATCGGCTTTTTCCCCACTTCGCCGTGTATCGCCTTACCTCTTTCAAGAGGATTATTCAACAGGATGAAACGGTATAAAGATAAGAAATTTCAATTGAAAGATATCGTTCGTTAAGCTGCGGGACATAAGGGTCCATAAGTTCTCTGGCCGGACCATGGAAAAATATAGCAAACAGAAACGGAAAATCAGAACTGATAGAAGCTTCCTGTGTACGGTTTATGAGTCTGCTGGGAAATATCCGAGGTTAAAAGAGACGCGCTATCCTACGAAAAAGAAAGTTCGATGTAATCTTACTTGTGCTTCAAATGCTGCGGCGTTCCTATACACCTGAGACCGGCTCTGGCGAGGATGCCCACCCTCGTGCAAAGGTTCTCGCATTCGGCGACGCTATGCGAGGTTAATATGACGCATCCCTGATTCTTCGTTATGTTTCTCACGGCTCTGGCCACGAGGTTCTTCGTGGCGGGATCCATTCCGCTAATACGCGCGATAATAAAATTATCAACGGTCAACCCGGAATTAAGTAACTTTCGAAATCAATAATTATTTGAAATAATTTGTAAAATTGTATTATTTTATTGCAAAATTGTAATTATTTGAAATAATTTGTAAAATTGTATTATTTTATTGCAAAATTGTAGAATTACGCAAAGTACCTTGTGGGTTCATCCATGAGAACAATGGCAGCAGGTGCCATGACGCTTATCGCGGCACATAGCTTCCTTTTGTTACCGCCGCTGAGACCAGCGATCCTTCGATGAGCATACTTGAGTAGATCGAATCTCTTCAGCATTGTCTCCACAGCCTGAAATAATAAATGAATCCCTGAGGTTCCAATTTCGAACTTTTGCAATCTTAAAATCCAGTTCTTTCTCTTCCGAGAATTTGTAGAAAAGAATTTGTAGAAATTTACAAGAGCATTCTTAACTATATACTTCTCAAAAATATTAAATATTACAGACAAAGAGATATAAATTTTAAAAAGTCTATGAAGTTTTGATCAACAGTTTCATATCTCTTTTCGGATATAGTTCTCACTCACTTACCCTAGGAACGTTGTTTAACCCGCAAACTTCGCCGTGAATCGTTAAACACTGGTGGGGCGTAAGAAATCCGTCCAGGGCGTCGCTCTGAGGACAATAGCCAACTTCACCGTTGCACAAAGGTCCAACGCCAATCTCTTTTCCTTTTAGAATAATCTTTCCGGCCGTAGGAATGATTTCAGTTGTCAGCATCTTGAACGTCGTGCTTTTTCCCGCCCCGTTCACTCCCAAGAGACCGAAACACTTTCCTGCCTGTACGCCAAAACTTAAATTTTGCACAGCGACGTTCGTCCCGTACACACTTCTGTATTCCTTCCTCAATTTCATGGTCTTCAGGGTATCGTCGACCATTCCAGCCTCGACTCTGAGTCTCTCTCTGGCAACATCTTCATCTTCTTGCACGGTTTCGTAACTGATGATTTTCCGTTTTCTCAGATCGGGCAAGACACGACACTCGATCACTAAATTCAGCACAAATAAAATCTCACCGATCACAAACAAGAAAATATAATGAATACCGAGAAGATCCCAGCCGAGCGGAGACTTGTAAGTGTCCATGTGAAATCTTTGCAACAGTTCGGAGGTGATGTCGTTCCTCGTTATCTCGACCAATCCGTCGCCGAGGGTGTATTGCGGGAAGATCATTAGAACGTAATGCAGAATGTTTCTCACATTTTCGGCCGTTTTACTCCTGCCAAGAATGTCGAGAACTAAAATAGTCGCCAGAGAGGCCACGCCTATGAAGGTGTTTACGCAGAAGAGCACCATATTGGACAGGCTTGAATCGTCGAACGCTTTTTCAGCTAGATGTGAAAACGGTATAGCCGCCCATCTAAAACAATCGATGAATATTTTATAAATATTTATATTGATTTTATGCGTACGAATGATTAAACGCGAATGCTTACGCGAATAAAATTAATAAAAGACAGACACCGGCCAGATTATCTCTCGCAACGTAAGCTGACAAACCAAAGATCTCGAAAACAATGATCGCTAGGCAAGTAGCGCAAGCAAATACCTAAAAGAAGAAAGAAATTATAAAAATATCGTGATATAAAAATATTATTATATCAATTATAAAAATATTATAATACATTATATATAAACATTAGAAGTATAATCGTGTTACAAGACGATTTATTCCTAGCATGTTAACAAAATTCTATTCTTTTCTCACATTAATAACTCACTATGAAATCCCAAATTAAAATTGTCGTCCAATACGTGACGGGATGAACTCCAGCTAAATAGAGTATTCTCTTCTCTTCTGACAATCGTTCTCTGACTATTTCCTTTGTTCCTTGAGCTCCAACCAGACTGAAAGCTATCAACAGTACCAACGCTACGCCAACGTCCGCCACATGCTGCAATCTAATGGAATAAAATGTTATAACATAAAATTTTAGAAATGACACGATTTTAAAAATGATACGATCTGTTTAAACAAACTGCTGTAAAAATTTAAAAATGAATATCTTCTTTGCATAATATACGTGTATTTGATTTTTAATATTAACCACGAAAAGCAAACAAAAGTAGCGTTAGTAACGTTGAAACACGTAGTCGCTATTCGATGGTATGAATATCAAATGATGCGGTACGTTAATTAAAAGTAAACGAAACGATCTCTACATCGAGATGTTTCACTTGTCGACTCTTTTTAGTTCAAGAGCTTCAACTGCAATCGTCTTCGCTTATCCGTTTGAACAAATACCGTCCGTATCTCGTCATATGAAATTGTATAATTAATTAATTCCGCGGACACGCGATTGTGATTTTTGTTAGTTTCCCCCCTCCCCCATAATTACGACTTTGTCACGTGGTTAAAATTAATGCTCACAATGTGGTTCGATTCAGCTGATCGCTCGACAGCTTCAAGGGGTGATTGAGGGTAGTTAAGTGTCCTTGCACTCCGGACGCTCGTAGGATCGCCTCGTTGAGGGCATTCAGGTACGCCGGCAGCGAATGGTGGCCCTTGTTATTGTACCAAACGATAAAAAGAGGATCCTCCTTGAAATGTGTCAGAGACCAACCGCCGTATCTGCCAGACGTTGTTTGTTCAGAAAATTTCAATGAGAAAAAATTTCTCTCGGTATCTTTTTTCTTTTTACGCGATAATGAAATCTACCGTTTCTCTATGTACTCCTGATGCGTTGAAACTATCCAGTCCAGAGTAGGTCGGCCAGGTAATGTTTGAAGAAGACCTTCGACAGCTTTCGAGACGCCTCGACAAGTTTGTTGACCATCCAGACATTCGCAAGTTCCAGTATCCTGCGAATTATTTAAACATTTATACATTCAATTTATTTAAAGTTCTCATAAATTTCAAGATAACTGTCATTTGTTACGCACATTAGGTAACGTTTGCCATGCGCCAGCATAATCATCCCCGAAACGATCGTGCAGCTGCATAGATACGTGTTGTAGGAACGGATCGTTACTATCAATACTGCAATGACAAAAGACAAAAAAATTCATTAAAAAATTCGTCATGTCTTTACTTTTTCTTTCTGTTAAAAAAATTCTGACTTCTCCTACCTATAAAAGTAAGTCGGATGAGTGTCATAAAGTTTGGGAGTTAAATCCAGAGGTGGTTCGTTCTCAGACGGTGGACGTATTAGAGAAAATCCCATGGCAACTGCAACGAACATAGTCGGCAAAACGAGCGCGGCCAACGGCGCTCTCCAGTCTCTCGCGAAATGCCATAGCCTTTTTTTTATCATGGCTTTCATTTGTCGAATTGGCGAAGGCTTCAATACTGTCTCGGTAATTAAATCGAGAGTGTCATCTGGTGCGGAAACTTCTGCGCAAAGTGAAAAACCTTCATTTTTCTCTCTAAACTTATGTGCTGTCAATTGAATGTCAATTAAACTGAATTTCTTTCTCTGCGAAATAATAAATCTAATTTATTTTAATTTGAATGCTTAATTAAATGTAGTCTAAGACACTGACTTTGAGAAACGCAGCATTTTGTAATTAATAGTTTTATTCCATTTTTTCGGTTTTTACTTTTTCTCTTTTTTGTATCAAGTATTATAACTGTATGAATTATGAAAATTAATTTTTTTTTAATTTTCTATTTTCGAAAGAGATTTTTCTGTCGATTGGTTTTATTGGTTTTATTTTTAACTTTTTTATTGCTTTCTTATTTTTGTTTCTTTTAAATTTTCTTTTAAATTTTAAAAATCTGGATAATACAGGATTAAATAGATTTTTTTAATTAAGTAGGTGAATTTTATCTATATCACGGCGTGCACGTGGAACATTTCTCACCGACGTGCTCCACATTAATGACGCTATCTTGACTCGCTCTGATAATGCTCGATCCGTTGTCTGCACGCGCGCAAAGATCCAAGAAGACTCTTTCCAGAGTGTCGCACTCCAATGAGAAGTGCGAGAATCCCAAGAGCTTACGGTTGTCTTCCAGCGCCTTCGCCACTTGCGCGATGCTGAAACAGACATCCCTAGCTTTATTCGAAGGCAAACGCAGATGTTTAATCGATTTTGTCTCGAGTATGATCATAACGATTCCTCCTAAGATAAATCACGATACTTGAAGCATGCAAATATTTGCAAAGACAGCATGAAAATTACGAACTGCTCGCAGCATTATCATAAATTACTGCGCAATGAGTTGATTTTATCTCGTATTTTCTTTAACTTGCATGTATTGCACGTAAATTTATATTAATTCCTTTTCGCGAATTATACAAAATTAATTTCACGAAAAAAATTTACATAAAATAAAATTCGACGTTCAATTTTGAAGCTAATTAATTCTTAAATGATACGCGAATTAGCAGTTAACATTACAAATATTTACTCATTGTTGATGCCATTTTTTCCTTGGAAAGGCAATGCGATGGTGACTTCTGATTCTGAGTCTTCGTTTATCACGGGATTCGGTATGATTTCCTCGACGACGGTACGAAGAGCCTTCAGATTCTTTTTATCGATTGTCGTTTCTCCTATCCCCCCTATCCCCGCCTCTCCGTTGGCATAGTGTTCGAGCGAGAAAGCTACGTTCAATCTATACCCCCTGCCATGCGTCATTTTCAAGGAGAGTGGCGAACCGGTGCACAGAATTTTCCCTTTATGCATCACCACGACCGTATCGCTCAACATGTCAGCCTCGTCCAAATGGTGAGTCGAGAGGAGCACGGTCCTGCCGACTCTGTGTTGATCGATCAATCGCCAAATCCGCCGTCGAGCAGCGGGATCCACTCCGGCACCAGGTTCATCCAGAATCACCAATCGTGGTGAACCGAGGAAGGCCAAAGCCACGCAAAGTCTGCGTCGTGTACCGCCTGACAAACGTGATACAGGCTCGTGTTCTTGCCGTCCGAGTTCCAAGGAAACCAGCATTCTGCAAAAACAAAAAAGAAAAACAAATAAATTTGACGATTGACTTCAAAATCGCAACTGTTACAAAATGGTTTTTCGAAAAAGCTGAAAAAAATTAATTTTCTTCCTTAAGCGAAAGTATATATTAACGTGAAGTATAAATGTGAAGTATATTAAAAGATTAAGGCCCGATTGTACCATTGTTATTTTTAGCTTTTTAAACATGTATTTGTTATCTTTCTTTCTAAGAAAGACAGATAACACATGTTTAAGTCTCGTCAAAGAAAATGCAATTGAGTGCAATTTGATGCAATTAGATAAGGGATGAAATATGTTAATAGATTTTTTCTCGTCTTACTCGTTAACATATTTCTCCATATCGATATTATTGTTAGGCCTCTTAAGTTTCCAGTAAAATATCATGTGCTCCTTCGGCGTCAGAGTCCCGATGAGTACGTTATCTTGAGGACACACCCCTATATCGGGCTTGCAATTCTTCTCGCCGTTTAAGCAAATTTCGCCGTTGGTCGGAGCCACCATTCCCGTTAGCATCTTGCTGTAATGAAAACACGAAATTGACGAATTCGCTAAATCATTATTATTATTATTATTATTATTATATAAATTGTCAATATGGAATTGTTCGATTTGAAAATATATCGAAATACATTAAAAAGCTAATTGAGACAATTAACGTACATAATAGTAGTCTTTCCTGCGCCGTTTCTGCCAAGCAGACTTGTTACTTCACCCTCGCAGAGTTTCAAAGTGAAGTCATCCACGGCGACGACGTCACCCTGTTCAGTCCGATAGACTTTTCGAACGTTCTCAAACTTGACGCCGATTTGCTTCTCCGTGACTGTCAAGCTGCTAAAATCGCTCTCGTCATCTGTACGTTCGGCAACAAATGACAATTTGTTTTTCAAATCAAGTTTATAATAACGATACCTGTGCGTAATATCGAAAGCAAGAGTTTCTACCAATTTCACAATATAACATCGTCAGAAAAGCGAAAGTTTAAACATTATTTCCGAAGAAAAAGCACAATTCCGTATTCCGCATACATACCAGCAAATATCTTTCTGGCATTAAATTCCTATACCTTTACTCGAGTCCAGGAACAAATGTGATGTTCCTTTTTATATACTTAAACTATGTATGCATGCGATGCGTGCAATGCGTGCATGTTCTAGAGATCACAGAAACCGCACAAACATGGCGTATATAATTGGAACAAAATGTACGAGCAGTCATCTTAAAATACTTGCTTGTTGTAAGAATATAATATAACGTAATAATTGCAAAGAAAAAATATGTAACATTCACAGAAAGTTCATGCAGATGCGATTACATTTACATGCATGAAAGCGTCTCGAGATGCGTCTCGAGATATAAAAAGCATGATACATGTATATTTGTGACAAGAATAAAAAGAATAATTAACAACAAATTATTAATTGCAATTACAAAGAGGAAAAACTAACTTTTATAATATTTATAATATTAACAAAAACGAATAGCTGCTCGAATTGCGCAAGAAAATAGCAAGTTCTTTTACTCTGAGAGTCGATTAAATTTTTTACAGAAATAGCAAAATTCGAAATTCCTAAAACGGCAATGAGACATTGACAATAATTTCCATCGCGAGAGCAAAATTTAACCTAGTTTACGTCTATCATGGGCATTCTTTTTATTCATGCCTCCCGTGCGTTCAGCCGACATGAAGAAGGCAAGCTGAAAACAAACTTTCATGACATGTACGTGCACGGGGAATAGTGCGATACCTTGGTAAGTGGCTGAGGAATGGAGAACGTCGTTAGTGAAATAGAGGTTGTTGACGAAGGTGAGGTAGCTCGGCCTGCCATAGAGAGAGCGCGTGTCGGCCCACCATAAGCTACGGGATCTCAAACCGTGAAAGCCCCTACCTGGAAAATTATCGGTAATGCTCGTTCGTTTCGCAAATAACTCACCAGGTCTTCTTATCAACTTCTCTTAAACGCGCCTCATCACGTCGAATCCGACCACCTGGACTTTTCTTGCAGGTGCATCTCGTTATTACACAGAAGAGTGAGAGAGAGAGAGAGAGAGAGAGAGAGAGAGGAGGAGAGTAGTGT